GTGGGAGTGTTCTGCAAGAGAACGAAGAAGAACAAAACTTCCCTTCTTTGTATCTCTTATTTGATTGCCGCCAGTGTTTCCGGCCTTGCTGACTGTGGCCCTCGTGGTTTGGGTCCCTGGTTTTCGGTCGGTCCTTCCGGTCGGCTCTGCCTCTGGGTCCTGGGTCCGTCCCTCGTCCCTTTCGGCCTTTTGGGCCCTCGCCGTTCGTCGGCTTTGCAGGGAGCTGAGGCTAGTCGTCAGCCCGCGTCCAAATAAATCCTCCCTCTGTTCCGCTCCACCCGCACCCTCCCCCAGCTCATCCTTCTTCCTGCTTCTCCCACTTCCCGCTCGAGGGAGGAGGGAGGGAGCAGGAGGAGGAGGGCGAGGAGGAGGGAGGGGGCAGGGAAAAGGAGCAGGGAAGGATGTGGAAGGGGGAGGAGGGGCGAGCAGGGAGGGGAGGCCCTGTTCCCTTTGGGCCCCTCAGGGAGCGCCGCTGGGCAGAGCTCCGCGATATTGCTGCTGGAGTACTTCCACGAGAGGGAGCCGCCAGGGGCTCAGGGGCGCTTCGTGTTGGAGGAGGAAACAGGAGCACGAACAGGAGGAGGAGGAGGAGGAAGAGGAGGAGGAGGAACCGATCTGCGTGAGGGATGCCAGCAAATTTCAGAAATGTGGCAAACCCCCTGTGTTTTTCCCAGCCATCCTGTGGTGTTGGGTCCTCGTTTTGAAGAGACGGTGCCCCGCGTTCCTCTCCTCTCCTCTCCTCTCCTCTCCTCTCCTCTCCTCTCCTCTCCTCTCCTCTCCTCCTCTCCTCCCCTCCTCTCCTCCTCTCCTCTTCACCCACCCAGTACACCGTTTCGTGGCTCCATAGGGAGCTCCACCGAAGGCCCCAGTGCCCGCGCCCGCATGCGTCACCCACACCCATTTCGGCACACCCCTCACACGTTTCGTGGCTCCATAGGAGCTCCACCGAAGGCCCCAGTGCCCGCGCCCGCATGCGTCACCCACACCCATTTCGGCACACCCCTCACACGTTTCGTGGCTCCATAGGGAGCTCCACCGAAGGCCCCAGTGCCCGCGCCCGCATGCGTCACCCACACCCATTTCGGCACACCCCTCACACGTTTCGTGGCTCCATAGGGAGCTCCACCGAAGGCCCCAGTGCCCGCGCCCGCATGCGTCACCCACACCCATTTCGGCACACCCCTCACACGTTTCGTGGCTCCATAGGGAGCTCCACCGAAGGCCCCAGTGCCCGCGCCCGCATGCGTCACCCACACCCATTTCGGCACACCCCTCACACGCTTCGTGGCTCCATAGGGAGCTCCGCCGAAGGCCCCAGTGCCCGCGCCCGCATGCGTCACCCACACCCATTTCGGCACACCCCTCACACGTTTCGTGGCTCCATAGGGAGCTCCGCCGAAGGCCCCAGTGCCCGCGCCCGCATGCGTCACCCACACCCATTTCGGCACACCCCTCACACGTTTCGTGGCTCCATAGGGAGCTCCACCGAAGGCCCCAGTGCCCGCGCCCACATGCGTCACCCACACCCAATTCGGCACACCCCTCACACGTTTCGTGGCCCATAGGGAGCTCCACCGAAGGCCCCAGTGCTGCCGCCCGCATGCGTCAGCACACCCAATTCGGCACACCCCTCACACGTTTCGTGGCCCATAGGGAGCTCCGCCGAAGGCCCCAGTGCTGCCGCCCGCATGCGTCCCCCACACCCATTTCGGCACACCCCTCACACGTTTCGTGGCTTCATAGGGAGCTCCACCGAAGGCCCCACCGCATGCCCCAGGAGTGCTGGCCGCCCGTATTTGCGTCCCGCACACCCATTTCGGCACACCCCTCCACGCGCTTCCGTGGCCCCATAGGGAAAGCGTTCCGCACACCCATTTCGGCATACCCTTCACACGTTTCGTGGCCCCATAGGGAGCTCCATCGAAGGCCCCAGTGGGTGTGCCCGCATGCGTCCCGCACATCCATTTCGGCACACCCCTCACGCGTTTCGTGACCCCTCACACGTTTCGTGGCCCCATAGGGAGGTCCGCCGAAGGCCCCAGTGCTGCCGCCCGCATGCGTCACCCACACCCACTTCGGCACACCCCTCACACGCTTCGTGGCCCCATAGGGAGCTCCGCCGAAGGCCCCAGTGCTGCCGCCCGCATTGCGCACTCACACCCAAGTCGGCACACCCCTCACACGTTTCGTGGCTCCATAGGGAGCTCCACCGAAGGCCCCAGTGCCCGCGCCCGCATGCGTCACCCACACCCACTTCGGCACACCCCTCACACGTTTCGTGGCTCCATAGGGAGCTCCACCGAAGGCCCCAGTGCCCGCGCCCGCATGCGTCACCCACACCCATTCGGCACACCCCTCACACGTTTCGTGGCCCCATAGGGAGCTCCGCCGAAGGCCCCGGTGCTGCCGCCCGCACGCGTCCCGCACACTCATGTCGGCACACCCCTTACACGCTTCGTGGCCCCATAGGGAGCTCTACTGAAGACCCCAGTGCTGCCGCCCGCATGCGTCACGCACACCCAATTGGGCACACCCCTCACACGTTGCGTGGCCCCATAGTGAGCCCCGCCAATAGCCCCAATGCTGCCGCCCGCATGCGTCACGCACACCCAATTCGGCACACCCTCACACGTTTCGTGGCCCCAAAGAGAGCTCCGCCGAAGGCCCCAGTGCTGCCGCCCGCATGCGTCCCGCACATTCATTTCGGCACACCCCTCACACGTTTCGTGGCCTCATAGGGAGCTCCACCGAAGGCCCCAGAGTGCTGCCGCCCGTATGCGTCCCGCACACCCATTTCGGCACACCCCTCACGCGCTTCGTGGCCCCATAGGGAATGCGTCCCGCACGCCCATTTCGGCATACCCTTCACACGTTTCGTGGCCCCATAGGGAGCTCCACCGAAGGCCCCAGTGGGTGTGCCCGCATGCGTCCCGCACATCCATTTCGGCACACCCCTCACGCGTTTCGTGACCCCTCACACGTTTCGTGGTCCCATAGGGAGCTCCACCGAAGGCCCCAATGGGTGTGCCCGCATGCGTCCCGCACACCCATTTCGGCACACCTCTCGCACGTTTCGTGGCCCCGTAGAGGGGCTCCACCGAAGGTCCCAGTGCTGCCGCCCGCATGCGTCCCGCACACCCATTTCGGCATACCCTTCACACGTTTCGTGGCCCCAAAGGGAGCTCCGCCGAAGGCCCCAGTGGGTGTGCCCGCATGCGTCCCGCACACTCATTTCGGCACACCCCTCACGCGTTTCGTGACCCCTCGCACGTTTTGTGGTCCCATAGGGAGCTCCACCGAAGGCCCCAGTGGGTGTGCCCGCACGCGTCCCGCACACCCGTTTCGGCACACCCCTCGTACGTTTCGTGGCCCCGTAGGGGGCTCCACCGAAGAAGATATTCACAATTGCGGCACTCACAATTGCATTTGGTTGTGTCCTTCGCCAGGATAATTGGACCCTGACCCCGTGAAGGGTGCCATCGGATTTCAGAAATGTGGCAAATCCCCGGTGTTTGTGGACCGTGACCCCGCCGATCAGCGTGAGGGGTGTCAATTTTTACCCACCCCAGCAATTCAGACAACACGCTCAGGGCGTGGTGGAAATGCCCGTTTTGGGCCTCCCCCCTTCGCGCGGTCCATCAAGAAGGAACAGTAAGCAGCAAGAAGCATAGTTGTAACAGTGGAAACTGGAAGCTGCAACGGGTACGGAGGAGGAGGAGGAGGAGGAGGAGGAGGAGGGCAAAGAAGGAACAGGAGCAGGGCCAGGAGCCGGAGGAGCAGGAACAGGAGCAGGAGGTTGAGGGAAGAGCAGCCGCAAGAGCGGTAGCGCAGGAGGAACGGGAGGGACGAGCAGGAGGAGGGCGAAGGGAGGGGCGAGTAGTTGTTTTACTGGTGGGAGCACGGCTCTCATATGTTTGACCAAAGTTTCGCTTCTGGGCAGATGTAGGCTCTGCTAATTCAGCTCCTTCGCCGCCTCAAAATGTCCTGGCCGGAGACCGGGATGTAGGGACTGGAGGTTACCCCTGGCCAGCCTGAGCAGGACTTGGATGAGGAAAAGCAGTATCAGCACAAAGATGAGGAAGAGAGGGAAGGAAGGCGGGGAGAGGAGGAAGAGGAGGAGGAGGAGGAGGAGGAGGAGGAGGAGGAAGAGGAGGGGCAGGGAGGAGAGGAGGAGGAGGAGGGGGACGGGCAAGGAGGAGGAATGGGAGGAGGAAGGGAAAACGATGACAAGAGGAGCGGGAGAGAGAAGCATGATGATGATGATGAGATGATGATGATGATGATGATGATGATGATGATGATGATGATGATGATGATGATGATGATGAATGATTGATGATGATGAGGAGAGATGATGATGATATGATGATGATGATTATGAGGAGGAGGAGGAGAGGAGGAGGTGAGGAGGAGGAGGAGGAGGAGGAGGAGATCCGTAGCCATTTTGGCTCAAGTCCGTAGCGTTTCGCTCAGGGACCGAGGCCTTTTTGGCGTGGGGGAGGCGCGCCCCTGCCAGTGATCCTGCGATCTCTTGCATTCGTTTCGCTCACAGCCTACAGTCTGGCTGCTGTAAGTTCTGCGGCTGTCAGGTCCCATGGGGCGCAATGGCGGCGGCAGGCAGCAGGCGTTCAGTGCGACCTGGACCTGCTGCAACAAGAAGTGCGGCTTCGGCAACAATTTCCCATGGCGTACGACGTGCTGGGCTTGTGGCAAGCCCAAAGGAGCGGTCCCTGCACCGGCGGTGCCGCGCCCTCCTGCTGGTGCTTGGGTTCGTCCTCCTCGGCTGCAGCCACAAGGAGGCTCACCTGGTGCTGGGCATGGGCCTGGCGCAAGCGGCGGCAAGCTCACCCCTGAGCGCAAGGACGCATTGCTTGCCATGTCCGCCGAGCACTTCGAGGCCTGCAGCATCTGGCTGTCGCCTGGTCAGAAGGCGCACTTGCTGGGGCTGCGAGCCGTGCAGACAGGCGACCCGCTGGCCCTCAGTCGACAGGCCAAGCAGC